ATTTGCCCTACAAATAGTTCTAACAGCAGCTCTAAAATTATTGTGTAAAAAGTTACTTTATGTTTTACAACACGCTTTTACCTCACATCACTTGTTAATGTACCTGTAACAAAAAAAAACTCCTCATAAAACACTATGCAAGCAATGTAGAAATTTGTGCTTAGAGTCTGTCTTATTTCACACTGGTCAATGGGTATAATGATGATCGCCTTTAGTTTCCTTCTGGCAGTCTTGTGAGAAAGCAAAAGAACCTGGTACACACAGAGACACACGTGCCATCCATTTCTAGCATGACGAAACAACACAAGAAAATGTCTGAAGCCCATGTTCCTCAAAGAATACAGAAGACAGGGGTCTTCAAGACATTAATTTTTGCAGGTTGCCAGTAATAGAAAACAAAGAATTGCAATACACATAAATTAGTCTACACATATTGGGCAGTTACCATTTACTTGGCCTTTTTTGTTATTGTTTACTTGACAGATTATGATTTAAGATTATATCCTGATCAACAAATATATACACAAGGCCTTATATCTCACTGCAGGAGGCAGCTAAAACTGAACAACATTCATTAAAGTGAAAAGTAGTTAGAGAAGAAAATTGTTCTCATGAAACAATTATTAACTGCTATTAGTAAAGAACCCAGTTCTTTGTCATTAAATATGCAAACACAAAAACCTTAAATGGAAAAAGTTTTAAATACAAGGTCAATTTGCTTGCCTAATACTCCATATATGCTGAATAATAAGACACAGGGTTTCAGAAATGTTTCCTTTGTAATAAAAATGTTCATATAGATTAGTAACATTAGATACTTGTTGGAAGGTGACAAGTACCTGTAATTGCTGTGAAAGTTTATAATCAATACATGTTTTTATAAGTTTAGTTGTTATTTGTATTTAGAATTTTAGAGAAGTACTTTGACCTAAAAAGCTCTCTTACATGTCATTTTCAATGTACACCTTTAAGGGAAAAGTTCTGTGGACTTCTTCAGTGACAGACAGAAGATACACATGAAAATACACCAAATGTCAGCTTATAGCTAATAAGTGCTAGAGATTTAAAACATAACGGCTGATTTTTTTCAGAACTGGTAAGCTACAGCTTGAGGCTAATGACCTTTAGCAGCTCTGTACTCTGCAACTCTCTATCCTGGGGCAACATGCTTTCAAAAGGCCCAGAATGGAACTGATACACATGGCTGAGGAAAAAAAAGTAATTTCTGTAAAAATTAATTGCTCTAAAGAAGTGAAGTGGTTACAGTTCAAAAAGCTTTATTTGATCCCCCACATTTTTTGTTAAAAAGTGTTACTAGGCACTTCAAAAGCTCACAGGAAGTTAACATTGACTAAGTAGAAACAGATCAGCAGACAGAGCTAGAACTTGTGAAACTTTACACTAATTCACAGATACTTAAAGCATAGCTAAGCCCTCTTGGAAATCTACCCATAGTTTTCAGAAGGTCATCTCATTTTTTTTTCCTGTGAAAGTAGTATTCTTTCTGTATATTCAGAGTTTGACAGTGACCTCAGATTTTAATTAATTAGTGCATGAAAATAACAGCAAAAAACAGAGGTCCTCAGAGTACAATATTATATAGGTGGAACCTTCATCACTTACCATAAAAACACTCACAAATTCCATTTTTTGCATCTAGCTCTATACCCAGTGAGGTTATACTGCAGACGCAGGCTGCTGATCTATTAAAAAACACCAATAGAGGGCAGATCAGACCTTGAAAGCAAGAGAACTGTAATTGCCAAAGCTGCATGCAGCAAGAGCTGGCTATTTTATGTACCTTCTGTAACACACTCAGTGATACTGCACTGGACCAAACATGAGCTAAGACTTTCTAGGATGTCTGTCCCCTTACAAAGAAAGAGAAATGCACAGAAACTTCTCAGCTATCTGATATGGAGGACGTGGTATAGAGTTTTCAAATTTCCTGGAAAGGCTTTTGTATTAGACAGACATATGACCCCAGAGTAATAAGTGACCACCCAATTTCATATTTATAATTTCTCTGGTATGGTCACTTAGGTACAGGGAGGGTGTCAAAGTCAAAGATCTTCTGCTCCTCTTTTTTTACCCTCTTTGCAATCAGGAAGCAATCAGATGCCTCGTATTACTACTACAATTCTCAACAAACATGATATTTGCGCTGTACTTTCTCCCACCACATGAGCAAATGAAGAATTTGAGTTCCCCCCTAGGACGCTGATGAAGAGGTGGCTGATCACAGCTGGAAAAATAAGCTCTTGCTTGCTATTTGTCTGCATTAAACTGCTTCCATCAGAGAAGCAGACACACTGTCACCAAGACTTTCCTGTAGAAGAGGATCTGAGCACCATGTCTATAGCTATGTATGCAACCCCTCATCCCCTTCCACAGCATGGGGAAGTTTTGACTGGGCAGGGCAAGCTCGACTGGCAGATCCTCCGGTGCTAACTAACTGGGTGGCCTTTGCTAGCTTGCTAAAATGTTTGAAGGTCCCACCCCCTATTGCTCTCAGCAGTTTTCAACAGTCCATTGTACCGTTCAATGTTGCCCAAGGCTGGTGGGTGACAGGGGATGCGACAGACCCAGTTGATGCTGCACTCCAGGGCCCAGGTGTCTATGAGGCTGTTTTGGAAATGAGTCCCATTGTCTGACTTGATTCTTTCTGCAGTGCCATGACGCCACAGCATTTGCTTTTCAAGGCCCAGGACGGTGTTCTGGGTGGTGGCATGGGGCACTGGCTAGGGTTCCAGCCACTCCGTGGTTGCTTCCACCATTGTGAGGACATAGCAATTCCTTGGCGGGTCTGTGGCACGGTGATGTAGTCAGCCTGCCAGGCCTCTCTGTATTTAGATTTCAGCCATCGTCCTCCATACCACTAGGGCTTCAACCACGTGATATGCTTGATTGCAGCATGTCTCACATTCACAGATGACTTCTGCAATAGTGTCCACCATAAGGTTTCTGCATAAACTTACACCCCAAGTAACTCTTTACTGACACTCAGGAGCAAAACAGCTGCCCCTTTCAGACACTGGGCAGCACTAAATTTGCTCTCTGCAGTTGTCTGCAAGAGGAACCTTCAGGCTGGTCATCTGGTAACTACATTCAGAAAAAATCTTAGAACTGCCTCAGAATTTGCAGTAAAACATCAAAGTCACATGGTAAGTGTGAATGCTCCTTGAACATTAATCTCCTGTAGAGGCATCTTTCCAAGGATTAAAAAGTATCAGATGCCTACCTTGTAATAAATTACTCCTAGTTCTGTATCTCCAGAAATTTCCTCCTGAACATTTTTGGTGTCAACAAAGATTTAAGAAGCATGTCTTTATTACATTCCCAGGATATGCAGATCATAATGTCTACACCTCTTGGTTTGTGGCCTCACCAACAGGAAAGACAATGATATTTCACAGTTAATTGCTCATTCAAAATTTCTGGTTTTTAGTAGGACTCATGCACCTCTCCTACTACTTCTTAAACTAGAGAAGCAATTTTATACTTTTACATCTTTTTTTTTTTTTTTTCCTGCTGTTTTTCTGAATTACTGCTTACTTTCTTCCAGCACCTGTTTCTCTGGCTGCAAAGCCTGATCTTTCATGTAACAGACAAGTCTAAGCGGAGTTCACACAGTTCTCCTGGAGTTACTGTTTGGAGGTGGGCAAAATTAACTCATACTTGATCTGTTTCTGGTTCTTTTCACTAAGCATTGTCTACTGGCCACTACAGTGAGATAAAGCCGCAGTCCAAGGTGCGGCTCATGCAAGGACTGGACTGCTGTGACAGCAATATTACTTGTAGCCCTGTGCACAAGTAAGAAACTCACTTTCAATTAAGAGACTGTTTTTTAAACAAAAGGTTATGGTTTTGCATAATTTTTTTTAGGCCATGGAAGGTGGAAAACACTTTAGGACAGGTGTCCCCCACTTTTTGTCTATCAAAAGTTTTCCTAAGATGACCTTGCAGAAAAGCACTCTATAGGCAAGAATAATATTTTGAGGGCATAACACAGCTGAACTGCAGAGTAGTGGCCAAACAAGCCTCAAATAAAGTACTATACTTTTAGCATTAGCGTGTAGCTAACATGAATTGACAAGGTCTTTTTATAGATAGATGTAAGCAATTCCTCCTCCCCACTAATTAAAATGGAACATTGTGCTAATAATACTTGCTTTTTATACTGGCTAAATTGATTCCTTCATAAATGCACTTTTTGCTTATTACCGAGACACTCCACGACTACGTAGTAATACGCAGTCACTAATCCCTCTTTAATATTCTACTTACTGTTCAAAGAAAAAGGAGTGAGGGATGTTCTTACAAACGCCAGCAAGTTATGTTGACAGTATCTCAAGGTAGATATAGGTGCTAGGTGCTGATGACCTATGGAGAGCCAAAGGAGCCTGTTCTTGTACATCTACTAAAAGGAATCAGTATGAACAACTAATTAAAGAAGTATATTGTCTTCTTTTTATGGCATCAGTATTGACAAGGAAAGTT